GGGGGGGGGGGGGGGGGGGGCAGTCCCAGGAGTTGCCTTTTCTCTTGCCTTCTAAAACAGTGAAACAGTGGTTCTCAAACTTTTTGGTATTAAGAGTACCCTTTTGGTCTTAAAGGTATACATACCCTTTATACTCTTAAGAATAATTAAGGATCCCAAAGAGCTTTTGTTTCTGTGGATTATATCTATAATAATTCTGTGGACTATATCTATAATATTTACCATTTTAGGAATTAAGATAAATTTTTATTCTTTTTTAAAATTAACTCATGTACAGATAAACATTTTTATGAAAAATAACTGTTTTCTGAAAAATAGTAAGAGTGATGTTTTCAATTTGCAAATCTCTTTATGTCTGGCTTAATGGAAGACAGCTGAATTCTCACAGATATTTCTACATTCAGTCTATTGAAATATGTTGTTTTGTTTGAATGTATGAAGAAAACCACAGATAGATGATTAGGAGTACTTAAGAGCCTTTTTAGTTCATTGAAGGTGTTCTGCTTTAATATTACAATGAAGCTCAAAAAGTAATAGGTTCTTAAAGGTTAATTTGCAGTGTGTGTCGACTGAAGAAAATGCACAACGTGAAAGTTTATGAATTAAGTTTTATTTGGGGCAAAATGAGAACTATAGCCCAGGAGACAGCGTTTCAGGTAGCTTTGAGAAACTGCTCCACAGAGGTAGGGGAGAGGTCAGTGTTACATATGATATTAGTGAAGAGGGGTTTGTGCAGTCAAACACACATTTTGGCAGAAGCTTGCTGATAGTCATGAGGAGCAGACGTCACCATTAATGATTTTAGTGCTTTTCCAGATATGAGGAGATGTAAGGATTGGGCTCATAAAATCTTCTGAAAATATCTGTCTGAAGGCCTGTTCTGCCAGTTTTTCCCAAAGCACAGAGTACCTCATTCCTCATCTCTGCCCTGAACTCCTTTCAGGGTGTATTGAAAATCAGCAGCTACAGCAGTTTGTGACTTAATCCTTGTAGATGCAGAAGGCAAGTGCCAATTTTTAGTTGGCACGAGGAAGCTGAAACCATATCAGTCAATTTTTTTGTACTCCACTAGATTAAAATCTGTCGGTGTGTTTTGCACTTTGAATGGCTCTTTTACCCATGCATGATTGGTAACATCATGCATTGACTCTTTGGAAAGTAGTGGTTCACCGAGCTGCAGTTCTTGCAAGTGTTGGTACAATTTATTACAATGTCAAAAAAAAAAAAACTCTCAATGCTACTACTGACATCATCAGTCTTTAAGTATTGGAAAGCTATCAAGTTCACAGTAGAGGGTGTGTTTCCCCAAAATTATAGACTTCACTTGAAATTTCTAATTCTTGAAGTGATAGGCACAACTTTGCTCGTTTTTAAGAAAATGTTTGTCAGATACCCGTGTCTGAATACCTAGAGTTTGTTTGTCATTCTTTCAAGTAGAAAGGTTTTCCTCCTCAAAGACAGTGGTTAGGTTCAACTTGCAGCTCATCACACAAGTGCTTTTCCTTGAGGCAACCGTTGCATTTCAGTGTGCGCCAGAAGTGCTTTATGCATGCTTCCATTTTGATCCACAGAATATTAAAAAGATGTGTACTCAGGGCCAAAATTTAATAAAATTAATTTTTTATCATTTCATTGAGGACAGTAAGTGAAACTGACTATTTTTCTTGCTAGTACAAGGTGGAAAAGAATACAGTGGATACTTCTGCAGATTGGTATCACTGGTATGATTCATACTAAAAGATTTGCAGTTTTACCCACCAACGGAGTAAAAAGGGCAAGTAACATGTTAATGTTGTGATGAAAGTAGTTTGGCTTTTCCCTCTGACCCGCTGAAAGGGTCTGAGGGACCTTCAAGGGTTGATGGATCATACTTTGAGAACCACTGCTCTGGTGTAACTTTACTTCACTTTAAGAAGATGTAGGAGTTGTTATAAATAGCAGTAGCTAAGAAAGATGTAAGCTACAGCTATATTCCTTGTCTTTTACACTTGATCTTAGCCAGATGGCCAAGAAGCGATATTACTTTGTCTTTTAATTCTTGATTTTACTCCAGCTTTTTTGACATTTATATAGGTTTTCTAATTAAGGAACATTCTTAATATAAGAGTACTTATTTATGTAATCTTAAATCTTAAGGTTATTCACAACTATTACAAAATATTTGTGAACTAACAAGTCCTTTTTTGTCAATAATACCATAAATTCCTTTACACTTTGCTCATTCGATTCTCACCGATACCTCTGTGGGTGTTCTCTCTTAATGCTGTCTTTGTTTAATAGATTAATTGACTGTGTCCTTTCCAGAATCACACAATGGAAATAGATCCATGATTTGGTTTGAAGCTACAGTACTCATTATAGTACTTCTTACCACCAGCCATTGAAATGTAATTTAGTATTTATATTACAAGAGCCTAAATTCCAGAGTTGGATGAAATTAGATTGAAAGCCCAGCTTCTCCATTTAGTAACTTTGTGACATTGGACATGTAGTTTAGCCTTTCCAATCCTTAGTATTCTCATCAGTAATAGCATTTACTTTATAGAGTTGTGAATGTTAAATGAAATAAATCTTGTAAACCAGACTTCAGTATGTCCAGCACATAGGAAATGTACGTTAAGTATTCTTTTCTTTTTCTACTTATTCACTATCACTGTTTTTCTTTCTTCATTTAAATATCCTCTCACTTTTTGTCATTTTCTTTTTTCTCTTATGTTCCCTTTCCTCTTTTCGTTTCATTCTTTAATGAAGAGAGTATTTTACTAGTTAAGTAGGTAACACAAGTAGGATACATCCTTGTACATTTATTAAACCATCCATTGATTTCAGAAAGAATGGAAATTAGGAAAGATCTGCATATGTACTTTAAATATGTGGAGTAAAATTAAAACACCATATTTTACATATGCCATGTGTTTTTCATAATTTCAATTATTGATTCCAACATCTTGACTCTTTCTTGTTATATTCAAAAAACGTCCTGTTAGAATCCAGAGCGGTTGATCTTTCAACAGACGAAGAGGATGGAACACATCGTTCTTCAGAAAGTAAAGATGATCAGAGTTCATCTTCCAATAGCTCTAGCTCTCTGGAAGAAGAGTTTACATCACTAGGTTGGTAACTTTTGAATTTTGTTAAAGAACTTTATTTCTAATATTAGTATTTTTCTATAGCAGTGATTTTTTTTAAATTTTTATCTTTTTATACTGCAGGTTCTTATTAGTTATCTGTTTTACACATATTAGTGTATATATGTCGATCCCAATCTCCCAATTCATTCCACCCCCCACCACCCCACTTTTCCCCCTTGGTGCCCTTGCGTTTGTTCTCTACATCTGTGTCACTGTTTTCCTTGCAAACCGGTTCATCTGTACCATTTTTCTAGATTCCACATATATGCATTAATATACGATATTTGTTTTTCTCTTTCTGACTTACGTCATTCTGTATGACAGTCTCTAGGTCCATAAACGTCTCTACAAATGACCCAGTTTCGTTCCTTTTCATGGCTAATATTCCATTGTATATATGTACCACATCTTCTTTATCCATTCGTCTGTCGATGGGCATTTAGGTTCCTTCCATGACCTAGCTATTGTAAATAGTGCTGCAGTGAACACTGGGGTGCATGTGTCTTTTTGAATTATGGTTTTCTCTGGGTATATGCCCAGTAGTGGGATTGCTGGGTCATATGGTAATTCTATATTTAGTTTTTGAAGGAGCCTCCATATTGTTCTCCATAGTGGCTGTATCAATTTACCTTCCCACCAACAGTACAAGAGCGTTCCCTTTTCTCCACACCCTCTCCAGCATGTGCTGTTTGTAGATTTTCTGATGATGCCCATTGTAACTGGCGTGAGGTGCTGCCTCATTGTAGTTTTGATTTGCATTTCTCTAATAATTAGTGATGTTGAGCAGCTTTTCATATGCCTCTTGGCCATCTGTATGTCTTCTTTGGAGAAATGTCTATTTACGTCTTCTACCATTTTTTGATTGGGTCCTTTGTTTTTTTTTAATATTGAGCTGCATGAGCTGTTTATTTATTTTGAAGATTAATCCTTTGTCCATTGATTCGTCTGCAAATATTTTCTCCCATTCTGAGGGCTGTCTTTTCATCTTGTTTACAGTTTCCTTTGCTATGCAAAAGCTTTTAAGTTTCATTAGGTCCCCTTTGCTTATTTTTGTTTTTATTTCCATTACTCTAGGAGGTGGATCAAAAAAGAACTTGCCATGATTTATGTCAAAGAGTGTTCTTCCTATGTTTTCCTCTAAGAGTTTCCCGTCTTACATTAGGCCTTTAATCCGTTTTGAGTTTTTTTGTGTGTGTGATGTTAGGGAGTGTTCTAATTTCATTCTTCTACATGTAGCTGTCCAGTTTTCCCAGCACCACTCATTAAAGAGACTGTCTTTTCTCCATTGCATATCCTTGCCTCCTTTGTCATAGATTAATTGACCATAGGTGCATGGGTTTATGTCTGGGCTTTCTATCCTGTTCCATTATTCTGTATTTCTGTTTTTGCGCCAGAACCATATTGTCTTGATTAGTGTAGCTTTGTAGTATAATATGAAGTCAGGGAGTCTGATTCCTCCAGCTCCGTTTTTTTCCCTCAAGATTGCTTTGGCTCTTTGGGGTCTTTCGTGTCTGCATACAAATTTTTAGATTTTTTGTTCTAGTTCTATAAAAAATGCCAGTAGTAGTTTGATAGGGATTGCATTGAATCTGTAGATTGCTTTGGGTAGTATAGTCATTTTCACAATATTGATTCTTCCAATCCAGGAACATGGTATATCTCTCCATCTGTTTGTGTCATCTTTGATTTCTTTCATCAGTGTCTTATAGTCTTCTGAGTATGGACCTTTTACCTCCTTAGGTAGGTTTATTCCTAGGTATTCTATTCTTTTTGTTGCAATGGTGAATGGGATTATTTCCTTAATTTCTCTTTCTGATCTTTTGTTGTTAGTTTATAGAAATGCAAGCGATTTCTCTGCATTCATTTTGTATCCTCCAACTTTACCAAATTCATTGATTAGCTCTAGTAGTTTTCTGGTGGCATCTTTAGGATTCTCTATGCATAGTATCATGTCATCTGCAAACAGTGACAGTTTTACTACTTCTTTTCCAATTTGGATTCCTTTTATTTCTTTTTCTTCTCTGATTGCCATGGCTAGGATTTCCAAAACTATGTTGAATAATATTGATGAGAGTGGACATCCTTGTCTTGTTCCTGATCTTAGAAGAAATGCTCTCAGTTTTTCACCATTGAGAATGATGATTGCTGTGGGTTTGTCGTATATGGCCTTTATTATATTGAGGTAGGTTCCCTCTATGCCCACTTTCTGGAGAGTTTTTATCATAAATGGGTGTTGAATTTTGTCAGAAGCTTTTTCTGCAGCTATTAAGATGAGCGTATGGTTTTCATTCTTCAGTTTGTTAATGTGGTGTATCACATTGTTTGATTTGCATGTATTGAAGAATCCTTGCATCCCTGGGATAAATCCCACTTAGTCATGGTGTATGATCCTTTTAATGTGTTTTTGGATTCTGTTTGCTAGTATTTTGTTGAGAACTTTTGCATCCATATTCATCAGTGATGTTGGTCTATAATTTTCTTTTTTTGTAGTATCTTTGTCTGGTTTTTATATCAGGGTGATTGTGGCCTCGTAGAATGAGTTTGGGAGTATTCATTCCTCTGCAATTTTTTGGAAGAGTTTGAGAAGGATAGGTGTTAGCTCTTCTCTAAATGTTTGATAGAATTCACCTGTGAAGCCATCTGGTCCTCATTTGTTGGAAGATTTTTAGTCACAGTTTCCATTTCATTACTTGTGATTGGTGTGTTCATATTTTCTATTTCTTCCTGGTTCAGTCTTGGAAGGTTATACCTTTCTAAGAATTTGTCCATTCCTTTCAGGTTGTCCATTTTATTGGCATACTTTGTATTTCTGTAGTGTCCATTGTAACTTCTTTTTCATTTCTGTTTTTGATTTGAGTCCTCTCCCTCTTTTTCTTGATGAGTCTAGCTAAAGGTTTATCAATTTTATCTTCTCAAAGAACCACCTTTTAGTTTTATTGATCTTTGCTATTGTTTCTATTTCATTTATTTCTGCTCTGAGCTTTATGATTTCTTTCCTTCTGCTAACTTTGGGTTTTGTTTGTTCTTCTTTCTCTAGTTCTTTTAAGTGTAAAGTTAGATTGCTTGGGATTTTTTTTTTTTCTTGAGGTAGGATTATATTGCTATAAACTTCCCTCCTAGAACTGCTTTTGCTGCATTCCAGAGGTTTTGGGTCGTCATGTTTTCATTGTCATTCATCTCTAGGTATTTTTGATTTCCTCTTTGATTCCTTCAGTGATCCCTTGGTTATTTAATAACGTATTGTTTAGCCTTCATGTGTTTGTGTTTTTTATGTTTTTTTTCCTGTAATTTATTTCTTATCTCATAGCATTGAGGTCAGAAAAGATGCTTGATATGATTTCCATTTTCTTAAATTTACCGAGGCTTGATTTGTAACCAAAGATGTGATCTATCCTGGAGAATGTTCCATGCGCCCTTGAGAAGAAAGTGTAATCTGCTTTTTTGAATGGAATGTCCTATAAATATTAATTAAATCTATCTGGTCTGTTGTGTCATTTAAAGCTTGTGTTTCCTCATTAATTTTCTGTCTGGATGATCTGTCCATTGGTGTACATGAGGTGTTAAAAGTTCCCCACTATTATTGTGTTGCTGTCGATTTCCTCTGTTATAGCTGTTAGCTTTTGCATTATGTATTGAGGTGCTCCCATGTGGGTGCATATATGTTTATAATTGTTATGTCTTCTTGGATTGATCCCTTGATCAATATGTAGTGTCCTTCCTTGTGTCTTGTAACATTCTTTATTTTAAAGTCTATTTTATTTGAAATGGTTATTGCTACTCCAGCTTCTTTTGATTTCCATTCACATGCAATATCTTTTTCCATCCCTTCACTTTCAGTCTGTATGTGTCCCGAGGACTGATGGAGGTCTCTTGTGGACAGCATATATTTGGATCTTGTTTTTGTATCCATACAGCAAGCCTGTGTCTTTTGGTAGGAGCGTAAATTCATTCACATTTAAGATAATTATCAATATGTATGTTACTATTACCATTTCTTAATTATTTTGGGTTTGTTTTTGTAGGTCCTTTTCTTCTTTTGTGTTTCCCACTTAGAGAAGTTCCTTTAGCATTTGTTGTAGAGCTGGTATGGTTGGGCTGAATTCTCTTAGCTTTTGCTTGTCTGTAAAGCTTTTGATTTCTCCGTTGAATCTGAATGAGATCTTTGCAGGTAGAGTAGTCTTGGTTGTAGGTTCTTCCCTTTCATCACTTTTAAATATATCGTGCCCCTCCCTTCTGGGAGGGTTGTCCATTTTATTGGCATATTTGTATTTCAGATTGTCCATTGTCACTGCTCCTTCCCCCTGGATGAGGCTATCTACAGTTTCTGCTGAGAAATCAGCTGTTAACCTTACGGGAGCTCCCTTGTATGTTATTTGTCATTTTTGCCTTGTTGCTTTTAATAATTTTTCTTTGTCTTTAATTTTTTTCAGTTTGATTACTATGTGTCTCAGCATGTTTCTCCTTGGGTTTATCCTGCCTGGGACTCTCTGCACTTCCCGGACTTGGGTGGCTGTTTCCTTTCCCATGTTAGGGAAGTTTTCTACTATTATCTCTTCAAATATTTTCTCAGGTCCTTTCTCTCTGTCTTCTCCTTCTGGGACCCCTATAAGGCAAATGTTGGTGCGTTTAATGTTGTCCCAGAGGTCTCTTAGGTTGCCTTCATTTCTTTTCATTCATTTTTCTTTAGTCTGTTCCATGGCAGTGAATTCCACCATTCTGTCTTCCAAGTCACTTACGCGTTCTTCTGCCTCACTTATTCTGCCATTGATCCTTCTAGTGTATTTTTCACTTCAGTTAGTGGATTGTTCATGTCTGTTTTTTCTTTAATTCTTCTAGGTGTTTGTTCTTTCAGTTCTTCTAGGTCTTTGTTAAACATTTTTTGCATTTTCTTGATCTTTGTCTTCATTCTTTTTCTGAGGCCCTGGATCATCTTCACTATCATTATTCTGAATTCTTTTTCTGGAAGGTTGCCTATCTCCACT